CTGGTATATTAGTAAATAAACTTTCCACATCAAAACTAATCATTTTGTGAATTGATAATGAAGAGTTTTGTTTTAAAAATTGAATAAATGCATCGCTGTTCTTTAATGAATACGTACTGTTACGTATTGATTTGACAATATCAACTAAGAATTTACCTAGACGATAATTGTATGATTGTATAGAAGATACAATCGGCCTAAGTGGTACATTGGTCTTGTGGACTTTTGGCAAGCCATATAATCTTGCTGAAATTGAACCAACTGGTTTAATATATCGATATTGCTGAGTACCCGTTGGATCTCCAGTAAGCAATGTAAATTTTGAGCGATTACGTAATATTTGTCCCCATTTTCCAATGTAATCACTACGGTTCATTATGACAACACCTCCGCTTTTATCAGGTTTGGTGATAATAATTGATGTATCTTTGGACAAATTCAATAATAATTGATCTTCGTGCGATCGATTGAAGAATTTGGTTGTAGTACTCTTCAAATCAGCTGCAAAATATAATTGTCTAGGTTCCAAAGTTCTAGTTTCCTTGTTGAAACCACTATCAGGATCTTGATCCCATTTTTGAAAATCAGTTATTTCTCTTTTAGTACCAGATGACTGATAGAATAAGAGTTCAATATCGGAAATTACTTCAGAACGATCAATTGTACGAAGACGATTATATGATAGCCCATCTTCAGTCAGCTGACGATCAGATAAACTCCAACCTAATTTGGATTGAGCTATTATTGTTGTAGGAACAATAATCGTGTATGACAAGGACGGTTTGGATGGATCATAATTAACGTCCACAGTCGCTGGACTGGTTGATTGACGTGTTAGTAGTTGAGAGATATGGAGAACGGAGGATGTACTCGCTGGAGTTGAGCCGAACGTTGATCACGAATGATTTTCGTTAATGCTTTAAAATTGGCTTCCACAGATTGTAAATTTTGCACAGTGCGCTCCCGAATTGCCTCGAGTTCTGTATTAATTTGAGGTTGAAGAGATTCCAAAGCTTCTTATTAGTTGCGACTATGATCAGCATGGAAAGATAAGGTTGCCGAGATATGTCAAACAGCATCGTCGGGTTGCATTTTTTTTCTTCTGTAAATGACAGTTTTGGCTCATATAAGTATTCAATTTATAGACCAAAAATAAGAGAGACATTCGAGATGCCACGAGCACTAATTGTAACGATTTCAGGCCTAGTATATAGCTGTATAAGATTGTGCATATATGTATACTTTTATTCTAAAAAGAAAGCGCTTGCTTACTAGATAGGTAAAGTATCGAAAGCAAGAACAAATATCAAAATATATATAACGAAAGAACAAGCCATAGTTTGGCTTAGCACACTCCCGGGTGAAAAAGAGACGCTCTTCCGAGCGTCGAAAAGAAAGAAACAAAAAAAAGAGAACGAAAAGAAAAAAAAGGAAAGAACAGATAAAAATGAAAATCGAGTTAAAAAGAATAAATATCAAATGGTAATAGTATTGAAAGCAAGAACAAATATTAAAGTGCATATAACGAAAAGAGAACAAATCTTCATGAGATTTTCGATATACTCTCTAAGAAAATTTATGTGCAGGTTCAATTGGACACGAAGGATTTTTTAAATACTTATCTGTATCCTTAGGATATTTCTTCGTAAGTGTTGTAACTGTGTTATATTATTCATTTGATTAAATACGCAAAAAAAATAAAAAAAAATATTAATACTTAGTTGCTTGATTCTACTACTGAACAAAAGGCAAATTGAACGTAATCACTCAATTATTCGAGATCAATGATGTAAAAGTAACAGTGGAAAATATCTATCAATAAAAACAGCGATTGAATTTCAAGATTTTTAAAGGTCACTCGAGTGCAAAAGATTCTTCAACAATTTTTATTGAGATAAGTATTTTTTTTCATTTTATGAATCATAGATGTCGTTTTGTTAATAGTGCGCGTATATTCTTTTTACTACTTCTCATTCTCGTATGTTCGTGTATATTATACTATCGTGACTCATGTTCTATATATCAGTATATAAAAGAGGAGACTGATTTGAACAGTATACACATTGTATAAAATTTTATGATTAAAAAGAAAAATGGTTGAAGAAACTACTCAGATCAGAAATTTATCATCAGATGATTTATGGTTAAAAATTATAAATGAAGGTATAGAAGATCGTGTTGAAGTTAACCAAAGAATGTTAATTGATAAAATGTTAGCAAGATATTCGTCGGATTTTGTTGTTTATCGTGAATTAATACAAAATTCGGATGATGCACATGCAACTTCATTTATTCTTCAAATAAAATGTGATCTTAATTCAAATAAAAATTCAAATGAATCCAATTCTTATTTAGAAGATATGGAACAAATAATGAATAATAAATTTGGTATTAATCAAACATCTAGTTTATCTGAAAATGATTTTCATAATTGTTTAATAAATGAAATTCGTACAATTAATAATGGAAATATATTTAATGAAGATGATTGGAAAAGAGTTATAACAATAGCTGAAGGAAATACAAATATTGATGCTGTTGGACAATTTGGTGTTGGTTTCTTTTCCGTTTTTTCTTATTCAGAAAAACCAATGATACAATCAGGAAACCATTGTTTAGCTTTTGCTTGGCAAAATGGTAAATCGTTAACAACATTTCGAAAAGAATTATCTCTACACGAACAATCATCATCAACTTCAGTCATTCTTCCAATGAAAACTAAATATATTCTGCAAACTAAATCAATATTAGATAATAAATCAAATAAAGATCAAATAAAACCTATTTTTAATTTAATACAATTAAAAGCTTATTTAACTAAAGTTCTTTCATTTACTAGACATATTAATGAAATTATTATTCAAATTAATAATGTTAAGATTTTTCAAGTAAATAAAATTAAGAAGCCATTATTATCAAAAAATTTAAAATCAAATAATCAGCAAAATTTCTTAAATTTTAAATTATTTACTCAAACGGAACAAACTTTTAATATTATGAATGGTCCATCGATTACTTTGAATCATATTGATGTTGAATCAGAAGTTAAAATTGATGATGAACTTCATAAAAAAATTGAAAATGTTCTAAAAAAACGTTTACCTTCAATTATTCATATTGAACTTTTATTTCCATCGAATCAAATACTTGAAAAAGAACAATGGAATATTTTAACAAATAATCAAATATTAAAAGATTTAATTCCATTGAAATATTCTCAAGAAAAATATTCTCCATCAGGTCAAATATTTATTGGTTTAGGCACACATCAGTCAACAGGTGTTGGAATGCATATCTATAGTCATTTAATTCCAACAATTGAACGTGAAAATATTGATATACAAGATCCATATATATCAATATGGAATGAACAACTTCTTAAATCTATTGGATATATTATTCGATTAATTTATGATCAAACAATGCTTGATGCTATTAATAATCATTTACAACATCTTAATGCTTGATGCTATTAATAATCATTTACAACATCTTAATGCTATTCTTTCTTTTTTTGCATTTCAAACATCAATACCAAATAAAGCAATCGGTTTGTATTAATTATGAACAATTTTAATTAATAGTTTTTTAATTTTATTTTTCTTCTAGGTAAATTTCTTTTAGATGGATTCTTTTCATTTGATGAAGATATTCGTGTACCAGTTCAACAATATCCATCTGACAATGAACTTTCATTGATTTCATCACGAGAAGTATATGTTAGTAATTCAAAATACATTGAAAAATTTCTTTCCATTCCACTTGTTCCATTTGATATTGGACAAAATGAATTTATTCAAATATTAAAACATCATAAACGTATTCAAGATATAAATAATGAAATAATTTTAGAAAAAATTCGCGAATCAATTTTTCTTTATGATGAATTAATTGAATTACTTCATTGGTTATGTACAACTATATTTCAAAATAAATCCTATATAAACGAAATTTTGTCTGAAATTTGTTATCGTGAAACATATCAATCATCAATAATTCAATTAGAAAATATTCAATTTTATAATACTTTAAATCTTTCATCACTTCTTCCTCTTCCATCGAATGTTTTACCATCAAATATTGTTAATCATATATCTCAACAAGATTTACAAAGAAAATTATCATTATCAAAATTATCAATAAAAACTTTAATTCAATTTTATCTTGTTGATAATCAACATTATTTATTTGAAAATGAAATAACATCAAAAATTCTTCTGCATTTTCTTTCTCAACATTGGATTCAATTTAATAGTAATGAATCAAATCATATTAAAACAATTCTTTCAAAATTAAAATGTATTTCAACAAATCAAGGAATGAAACTACCACAAGAATCTTATATTCCTTCATCAAATATATCTGAAAATCTGCCGATTATATCATCAGATGATAATGAAGAATATCCTCTATCAATTGAATTTCTTAAATCAATTGGTTGTCGAACAATGCATTTTCCTACAACGACATATAGTTCAAATTTTATTAAATCAGCTGATAATAATGAAACATTACAAAATTTTATTCAAGATTTATTAAAACAACGAAAAACTATGAGTGATACAGATTTAAATTCTTTAAAAAACAATTCATGTCTAATAGGAACAACATTAGAATATTATGGTGAAATTAAACGTAAATATAAAGGAAATGAACTTCATTTTCCATTAGTTGCAAAAGAACTTCAATGGAAAGAATTACTAATCATTGATTGGATTGATATTAATCCAATATCAGAAGAATATTTTTTTCTTAAAGAACTTGGTGTTAAAGAAGCACCTGATTTACAAGATTTACTCTTTCGTATTGCACAAGAACATTATCGAGGATCAAGAATAAAATCCGATTATAAATTACCACATTCATTAATTTATTTTGCAGAAAATTTTCGAAAATATTATTTAAAAGTTTGGCAAAATAATCAGATTAGAACATCTTTTCTTCCTTCATCTCCTCCTGAAATAAATCAATCAGCAGAAATTATTTTAACAACTCCTCAATCAGTTTTTAAAGGTAAATATTATAGTACATTGAATAAAAGATAATTTCTTTCTTTGAAATAGAATCAAATCCATTATGTCCATCATTATTACCTGATATAATTCAATGTTTTTCACATTGTTTTGATATAAGTTTACTTGGAATAAAATTACGTCCAGATTTAGAAACAGCATTTAATATCTTAATGGATAAACGATATGAAATGTTAACAGTTGAATCAGCTCCAATTTATTTTGCGTATTTAAATAAATTAGATGGTCTTAATAAAACATTTATTGAAAAAGTTTCATATAAATCATTTATTCCTCATTCTTCTTCTTCGTATTCAAAACCATCTCAAGTATTTATTCGTTCAGAAACTTTAACTTCTTCTTCTGATGATGAAACAGCAACGTGTGGTCTTATTGATTATATTGATTATGGTCCTGAAGCTAATTCATTTCTTTTTAGTATTGGAGTTGTTTCTTATCCATCTGCAGAAAATTTAATTGAATTACTTATTGAACGACAGTCATCTTATTTTTCTCAAACAAATGAAAATACTGATGAAATGATTAGAGCTAAACTACGTGTTTACACAAATTGCTTAAAACAATTAGCATCGATCTCGAATATTAAACAAAAATTTCAACAAGAACCATTAAAAAGTCGTTTAATTAATAAACCTTGGTGTTTAGGTTATCAAATAATAAAACATGAAAATGGAAATAATGAAAAAGTTTTCCAAATAGCAAAACCAAATGATATTTATCTTGATGATGATCATCAATCAGCTATTGATCTTCAACCCTTATGTGCACCGGATGAAGCAGATTTAATTAAGTTATATGAAACATTTGGAGCTAAATGGTTATCAGAATCTGTGAAGAGAACTTTAATTCATACTGGTTTGATTTTTACGACTGAACGAAGTAAACAACTTTATGACTTGATTGACCATCGTTTGGATATGTTATTTGTAAATAAACGGGTAAAAGTGATCAACAGTTATTTTTTTGGAATAGTAAAAGATGATTTTTTTTCTCTTTTTAGGGAGAATATTTAGAAAATATTGATGAAAAACGTTTGGATTTATTACGAAAAAATTTCTCAGTTTATGAAAGTGAAGGAATTCAATGTGAAATAACATTTCAATATCGAACAATTACATTAGATAAGTCAACAAATTGTAGTTCATGTGTTCTTGAATATGATAAAAATCAAGTCAATTTATACATTCATAAAGATCTTCCAACACTTGATTATATTGATATTGCCAGTGAATTAATTCGATTTATTCATAAAAAACCACTTGAATCATTGGTTCATTCAATTAGTGATAAACTTTCATCACCATTAGAAACACTTAAACGGCGTGGAATACCTGTTGATAGATTTTTAAAACAGAAGCAACAACAACAACAACAACGTGAGTTTGACTCTTTATGCGCACACTCTTATCATATCATCGTTTATTATTTTAGCAATCAAATTAGTATTACGAAATGAACAACATCAATTCTCAAAATTTGATGATTATTATCAACAATCAATAGAAAAATCATCAAATGAATATTTTCAAAGTTTAAAAGAGTATTCTTCTCCTATTGAAAAATATTCGAGTAATATTGAACGGAATTGTATAGATGACTTTCGAGAACATCAATCTTTAAACAAAATTGATATTAATCAAATGTTAAAAACAAGTCGATCCTATTTCCAAAATGAATTTCATCAATCGGAATGTTCCCGACAAGAAAATAATAACTTATGTGAATATGTTCCATCATCAAATATGATTCGTCACGAAACTCTTTTTCATAATATTCCACTTTATATTGATGAAAATGTTCGTATAACAAATACAATGATTAAACAAGGAAAACAATTAGCTTATTTATTATCTTCACTTGCAACACATGTATTTCATATTTCACAATCAGTAATTCATCTCTTTCGTGATATAAATAGTGGTAAGATTTAATATTTATTTTTTAAATTTTTCTTGAATTGTTTTACTTTCAGCACGTGTTGCTTTTAATACTAATGGTGCATTATTTTTTAATCTTCGTTATTTCGAACAAGTATTTGCGAAGGATCTGGAATTTAGTCTTGAAAATAATTCCACTATTCGTACAATAATTAACTTTTATTTTCTAATTTTTTGTCATGAATTAACACATAATATTCATTTAAGTCATGATTTAAATTTTATTCATTGTTTCGAAAGTGTTATTGTAAAATTTATGGATGAAAAAGAACTTTTTTTGTCAAAATTTTCATTTCGTTATTACTAAACTAAACGAATAAAATATGTTTTATAATCAGTTGATAAAGTTACCATCTTAAGGGTGTGGGTGTGGGTGTGGGTAATAAAATGAAACACCCACACTCTCTTTATTCGTGTAATATCTATTAATAAAAACAATTGCTAACAGTAAAAATATTCTTTCTTTTTTAAATTTTGATTTAGCTCCGACAACTGATGTTGATATTTGAAGAAGAAAAGAAATAACATAGATAGTTATATCGGAATTAGTGACATCATGATTATAAAGATGAATCTATAGAAGAGACGAAGACAAGAAGAATTATAAGAGATGATAAATAGAGAAGAGTATTTTCAACTTTATTCTTTCTTGCATTTTTGGCAAAATTAGCAAGTCGTATCTTTTCATTAAACTGAACAGTGAAATTTAACATTACGGCATATTTTTCTTTATTGGAAAAATTCTGCTTTGAATTTTGAGTGTCGTACCAAATGCATAAGTGTATTATCATCTCAATGAAATAACTATGACTATCACATACAATCCAAGTATTAAGTACTTATTAAAATGATAAAAGTATGAAAATTAACTAGACAAACTGAAAAATAGTGAGAAAAATAAATCTTTTCCACTTTTTTAAATCAAAAAGAATTAAAAGTATTTTTTTAATACTTTTTTTTCATATGGATATTATTAATATTTATTTCAACAGGTATATAATTATATTGACAAGATTAAAATACAATATATTTTTTTTAAAATAAATATTATTATATAAGGAAGAATCATCATCAAACTGATGAATAGTTATTCATTATTATTGTAAAAGCCATTATATTCTTGACAATAATAGCATATGTTAATTAAATGTGCATGTATTGAATGTCAATAAAGTAAATATGCCTATGCTTAAATATTCTATTAAATAGACTAATATCTCTTGTCATTTACAATGTAGAATACAAAATTAAGCTTATGATGATAGTCCATATATTTTTCACATAGTTGACAATTACTCATCGAACGAATGAATAACTTACCTGAAGATATATGCAACATGTATATCGTTTTACTTCCACTACCCTTTTTTTTCTTTCTCACGCACTCGATCTTTTTTCTAATGTTCGTTTCGTTCTATGTAACATTGTCTCTACAATGAATCACCAAGAAGAACTTATCATTCTTTCAACATATTTTATCAACGACACTGTTTTTTTTACTACCTATTCTATATAAAAAATATACTTTTCAAGCGATTCAATTTCATATTTTTGTTTTGTTTTTATATGTAACCATTTACTAATATATGTAATAGAAAAAAATATTGTTGATTCAATAAATGTTATATTTAATATTGCAGTTTGTAATTTTACTTTTTGACGTGAACGACTGATATTTATTTACAAATGCAACTTAATACAACTAGAGTTGCTCAAAGTATGCAGGGTTATTCACTCTCGCAATTTTTTACGACACTCATCTTTGCTGTGATCATTGCTGTTATCGAAATCGTCATATTTCTTTGTACTCGAACAATATTTAAACGTATTTATGAACCAAAAACATATCTAGGAGATGAAAAACGACGTGTCGAACCTTTACCTCGAACACCTTATGGATGGTTACCAGCTTTATTAAAAATGCCAAAAGAAGATCTTATTCGTACATCTGGTCTTGATGCTTATTTTTTTGCACGTTATCTTTATATTCATGCCATATTTTTCTTAAGTTCATTTGTTGTCTTAGGAGTTATTCTATTTCCAATTTATACAATTGATGGAAAAGGTGAAGCTTTTGGTAAAAATGGACTTGATATTTTAACATTTGGTAATATTTCACCACATCACTCTTTACGTTATATTGCTCCATTAGTACTTGCATATGTTTTTCTTGGTGCATATTTTTTTATGCTATATGTTGAAATGAAAGTTTTTGTAGAAAAACGTCAAGCATTATTACGAAGTTCAACATATCAATCACGTGCTAGTGCAACAACAATTCTCGTGACTGCGATACCAAAAGAATACTTATGTCCTGATGTACTTTATCGAATATTCAATCAATTTCCCGGTGGTGTTAAACATATTTGGCTCAATCGAAATCTTGAAGATCTTCCTGATAAAGCAAATAAACGTATGAAATTAGTTGAAAAACTTGAAACAATCGAATGTAAATTGATTAAAACTGCATTAAAAAATGAAGCAAAAAAGAAGAAGATGATGATGAAAAATAACCAAATTAATTTAGAAGAACATGTTACAATTGATGAGGATGAAGAAGATCTTTTAACTTATTATATTCCAAAAAAGAAACATCCAACAATGCGAATTGGATCAATACCAATACTTTCATCTTTGTGTTGCGGTAAAAAAGTTGATGCTATAACATATTGTAAAAAGACTATCTCGAAATTAAATACAGAAATTGAACGAGCAAAATTAAATCTAAACAAATATAAACCGATCAATTCGGCATTTATTCAATTTAATACACAAATAGCAGCTCATATGGCTGTTCAAAGTGTTGCAGCATCTATTCCGCTAGCAATGACACCTCGATATATTGATATAAAACCATTAAATATCGTTTGGTCAAATTTAAAATTAACTTACTATGAACAGAAAATTCGAAAACTTATTATGGTAGCAGCAACTGGAGCCCTTGTTGTCTTTTGGGCTATTCCTGTTACATTTATTGGTATTCTTTCTAATATCACATATCTTACAGATAAACTAACTTTTCTTAAAATAATTTATAATCTACCAAAAGCATTGATTGGATTAATAACTGGTCTTCTACCGACTATTCTCTTAGCTATTTTAATGATATTATTACCTTTTGTATTAAAATTATTGGCAAAATTATCCGGTAAACCTACCACTGATTCAATTGACCGATATGTCCAGGGTTCTTATTTTGTTTTTCAAGTAACGAATGTATTTTTATTTGTGACCATTTCACGTAGTGTTTCTAGTGTTATTATTGATATTGTTCAAAATCCTCCTAGTGCTGCAACAATACTTGCTGCAAATATTCCAACTGCAAGTAATTTCTTCTTTAGTTTTATTGCATTACAAGGTTTAACTGTAGCTTGTGGTGTTTTACTACAAATTGTAACATTAATTTCATTTTATCTTCTTGGAAAATTATTTGATAATACACCACGAAAACAATCAAGACGATATTTTACACTTTCGAGTCTTGATTGGGGTACAATCTTTCCTATTTTTACAAATTTTATTGTTATTACTTTAGTTTACTCAATTATAGCACCTCTTATACTGATTATATCTGGATTAGCATTTGGTTTATTTTATATTGCTTATAGTTATGCAATGTTTTATGTGAATGATTTTCCCAATGATTCTGGTGGTCTTGCTTTTCCAAGAGCAATTTATCAATCATTTACCGGTGTTTATTTAATGGAAATAATGCTTGCAGCATTATTTTTTCTTGTACAGAATGAATATGGTTCACAAGCTGCTATTCCTCAAGGTGTTCTTATGTGTATATTAATTGCAATTACAATTATTATTTATATGACTATGCGTTCTAGTTTCGATCCACTTACATATTATTTACCAGTCGATGTTGAAGAATATGCACATTTAGAAAATCCACACAAGAGAAGATTTCCAGTAACAAGAAAAGTGATTCGCAAACTCCAATATCTTCGAACAACCGATGATATTAGTATGATTTCTAATATAAATGATGCTGTGATGGATTTTTATGATAATACAATGGAAAATGCATATATGAATCCCGTATTACGAGATCCTAAGCCAATCATATGGATTCCACAAGATAGTTTAGGTATTGCAATGAATGAATGTCAACGAACTGCACAATCCTATCCGAATATTTCAATGTCAACAAAAGGTGCCAGATTCAATAAGAAAATGAAGATTAAGATCGACTCGCCTCCGCCTGATTGTTTCAAAACACAAGAAGAAGATATGATTCATACACGCTTTTAAATACTTCAACTACAGATAATATATTCTTTTAATTTTCGATAAATACTACATTACAAAGAAAATGATCTAAAGATCTACGAGGAAAAAATCAGTTCTTTCATTTGTATATAACAAATCTTAAACAATTGCCAAATACTTTTTGCAGTATATATAGAAGAAACTCTTTAAGATATATTGAAATATTCATTGCTTTATTGAATCCATAAACGAATAGGTTTATATGAAATTTGTTGTTTGTCTTTTATAATATCATTATCTCTAATGATTGTACATGTTGATGGTAAATATTGTTGAAGCCAATCGATACATTCATCAGTTGTTGATAATAATGAAGAATTGTTTTTCTTCTCTATCAATATATCATCTCGACATAGAACATTCAAAACACGTAGATCAAACATTCCATGAATCAATTTGAGTATATTTTGACGATTTTCAACAGCTATTGAAAGTATTTGACATTGTTTACCTAATGATGAATGAATTAATCGACCACATTGTTCAGTATTATACCATTGATCAATATCCTGTAAATTAAGTTGATGAATTGATTGATTTGAATATTCGTAAGGCGGTCTCCGTTTCGACAATGACCAATTCTTGAATGTTAATGAAGTAAGATGTGGTGATTGATCGAGTAATGTTTGTAATTGATCATCAAAATTCAAATTATCATCTATATGATACGGGGCTACTGATAATGAAATCAATTGATCAAGTTTAGGTATCATAATAATGAAATGCTTATCAAAAGGAAGATATAAATCCAAATGTCGAAGATTCACGAAGCGAAAGAAAGGTAAAATTTGATTAGTCGTAGGAACGAGTTCATAACCAAGAGTATGAACATTATCATATGATGAATAATCATTATCTAAATGGCAAGTAGATTTTGATTTAAAGTTCGGTTCATGAATAAAATAAGAGTGGAAAGCATAGGGTAATGTATAAAGATAAATATTATTCTTATCACATTGTTCACAACGATTCCAATCACATCGAATATACCATTGATGTTTAACAAGCCAAAATTGTGTTCGAAATGAATTCAATAAATCATCAACTCGTTGTTCTTTATTATCATGATCATTAAGACGAAATATCATTTTTAAATGAAAATATTTTAATCGTGGTAAATGATTAACAATTAATTGTTCCCAACTATATCCATTCATATTGATTTCGTCTGTTTCAACAACTAAACGACATAG